TTTAATATAAAGAATTAAAAAAGCATGAAACATATTTTCAAAACTAAAAATATTTAAAATTAAAAGTTCGGAATTAAAATTGAGATTTAACCCTAAGATTTCAACTTGAATCCTTCGAAACAGAATATGAGACCTTTAATCAAATGGGCCACCCCTTGAGTCGGTTTTTCTTCTGTTTGTTGATGGCTTATTTAACTGTCCAATTATAGGTTTATTTGGTGCCATTTTCCCTTTTAAAGATTACCTAAAGCCCATCCACTCAAAAACTAGCATAAGTGAACATCCAATACAATATGAAATTGCACATAAGGCAACAAATTAAGTAATTAACCAAACAAGAAAAAAAAATGATGTTATTTATAGATAGGCATTGTTTACATTTTTTTGGTAAGAGAAATAAGGCTTAGACATTTCTTAACTCTTTTCTTGTCTTGGCTAAATCAAAAGTTGTACTTAGCAAACGCTTGATTCTGTTTTTAAATAAATATAAAATTTTGCGTGGTTTTACATGCAAAGAAAATATACATGAGTTTATTCAATAAGAAATGATTAATGGACAACATTTCCTGACAATCTTGCCTCACAATTGCATGTGGGAGGTGGTTGTAGAAGTGATGTTTGATCAATTAGCTTTTCTCACGTGCAGTTCATCTTTTAAAAACACAGAAGGTACGACTTGAAAGGAGCTTTATTTGATAGAAGAACCCAAGCCCATGGGGTAAATTAGAATTACTTTATAAAAGTGAAGAGAAAAGTGTTTTGCAAGTTTCTATTACCATATTAATCAAAGTTAATCTAAATTTATTAAATTAAAAGTTTTATTTTTATAAATTAAATATATTAATTTTTATATTAAGTTAAAAAACTTAATCAATTCGTTGATTGCATAAATTAATATTATTAAATACATACTAATAAATAAATTTTTTTTATAAAAATATTATAAATATTCAATCAATATATGAAAAATGATGTAAATGATGCATATAAATACAATTTTTAATTCAACAATTAATTTTTAAAAATATTAATTTTAAAATAAATTTTAAATAGATCCTCTAATAAATTTTTTAAGAACACAAACTACCCTACACTAATCTCAAAAAGTTAATTAGACACCTATATCCGGTTGTTACAACATGTCAACACAATATTTAGTAGCTAGGTGCAAGATATTGAAGTAACACCATCAATATTTAATGCTTTTTTTTAGGTCGATGGGAAAGCATTAGACAATTGCTTGTGTATATGCTTTTCCTTGAGAATAAAACTGGTGCACAGCATCAGCCACGGCATCATAATTATGCCGATAATTTTTGTTCACAATGCATTGGCTAATGACTTCTCCACTTCTATCCATTTCACATTCACATTGTGGTTTTGAAATGGTTTCGGGACAGAGGAACAGTATGGCCAATATTGCTCGTAGAGATTAAAACAGAACAATGAAAATACAGTGAAGACCAATACTGGAAAACAAGATCACCAAGATTGACAAAGACTAGGTAAGAATTAGGCGGTGATGATATTGATAATCAAACATGTCCTATCTTTTATAATAGTGCACGACTATTACAAGACTCTTTTTTTTTTGGGTTTGGTTATTGTAACTATAAAAAATGTTAACCTCACTAAAGTTTTTTTTAATAATAATTAAAAATATTAAATTGTTGATTAATTTTAATTTATTAACTTACTAAATATTAATTATTTGATTAATGAATAATAGAATCCAAAAAATCAAGACCTCTTGACGTCAAAACATTTCATCACAATTATTCATTAAGTGGATCCCAATCAAAGACTTATTTAACAGATAATTATAATGGATATCTTGATACTAAGACGTCCTGATTTTCGCTTTTTTAAATTAATAATTAATAATTATAATTATCAATCATTTTTATTAATTTAATTAAATTAAATCAATATTTTAAATATAATATTTTACAATTTTACTAATTATAACATTCTTATTAGTGGTTACAACCATGCCCTCTTTTGGACCAAGCAAAATGATCATGTATATAAAACTTTGACAATTTATTTTTTTATTATAAATAATTAAAATTTATCACATGATTTTTTTAAATAAAAAATAATTATTTTTTTAAAAAAAGGATAAAAACAAATGAATCTAAAATATTTATAATAAAAAATAAATAATTAAAATTTTATTCAAAGAATAATCCAAAATTTCTGTATAAGTCAATTCTAACTCTATTTAAGCAGCATTATTCCCCCCCACCCCCAAAACGCTTCCTCATTTGTCATCTCTTTTCATAAATTTACTCGTGAGTTGTGACACTTTAATTTTAAAATAATTTTATATTAACATTCTTTTTAAAAAATTTAATTTATACAATAAGAGGTTTTTAAAAAATTTTTAATTTATCTCATTTATATACTATATAATTCAAATTCAAAAATTCTTGTAATTGTCACAAACTATTTAAATGGTTGATAATTTTATATTAAGACATTCACATGATGTATGAAGGACAGTTTAAAAGAATTTTCCTGTACTTCTTAATAAAAAGCTTCACTTAATCCAAATTTAATTTTTATTTTCATTCATATATGTTATACAAAGAACTGATTTTTTGAGTCTAATAATTTACCCCAAACTTTTGTACTTAAATTCAATTAATTAAAATTTCGATTTCACCGACTATTTAAAAATTTCTCCTTCCCTCGTAATTTTCCATGTTCATATATACGTATATATATATATATACACACACACACTACAAAAGTACTAAAACTTAGGTCTGGTCCAATAAAACAAGTCAATACACGAAGGAGTACAAGAAATGCAGGGTCACAGAAGGACAAGGCTTCCAGAATGGATATAGAACAGTAAAAATTCCAACCCTTGTCCTGCTGCTTTCAATCCCCCCTATCTTCCCTTTTTTTTCCCTCTTTACATCCATTTTGAGAGTTGTACTAAGCATTGCATAAAAATAGTAGGCTACATTTTCATCCTAGAAAGAGCATCTGCATCTCTTTGTTTTACAAAAGCAAAAGGCAAAAAGATGAAAGAAACTGGCTGCATTTTTACTTCTCAAAATGGAGCAGTTAAGGTTCTTTGTATAGAATGCTTTTTTGGCAGCTGAGCAGGAGCTGCTAGGAACTGAAATACAAGATTTCAACAAAACCCCATCAGCCAATTTCATCTCCTTTTTTCAGAAATCAAACACCAAATATAGAAATAATAATAATAATAATGATAATAATAATAATAAAACACCAATAATTACCTTCTCTTGCTGCCTTCTGAGTCTGGCATTTTCTTCCTGTAAATGAGCGATTTCAAGTTCCAATTCGTTTGTGTAAGCCTGCGGTACTCAAATTAAAGGAATTAAACCCTCAAAGGCAAGACATTTAGAATAAATTAAAGAAACAGAGGAAACAGAATATACCTCTTTTCTGGCTCTGGAACGAGCAGCTGATTCTCTGTTTTTCATCATGCGTTTATGTCTCCGATCGTGGAAATTATCATTAATATGTTGAGCCCTTTTCTTGTAGAGTGAAGGGGAAACGGTTGGAGAACCCAAAGCCTCAAGGTACGGAGCGCCGCCGTTGAATTTTGGGTTTTGTCTCCCGGGATCGCCAATTTCAATGCACTGAAAATCAGATGCGGAGTTCAAGCTCAACAGCGTGGCAGCGGGATGAGGAGGAGGCGGTGGTGGCGGCGGCAGGGAAGTGTCACTGGAAGTACCTCTTCTTGGTGGGTCTTTGTTGAAGGGTCTTGCTAGGAAGTCCTGAAGGATCATGTTAGAAAGTCCATGGTTGTTAAAGGAGGTGATGCCGCCTCCGCCGACGGAGGTGGGGTATTGTTCGGGAAGAGAAGGCAGGGTGATGGCTTTCCAAACTTCTTCCATGGACTTTTTGGCCGATGAAGGTGGAGGAGATGGGATATTTAAAGGAGAGAGTATTTTGATGGCATCATTGGTGTTTCTGTCTGTTCATGCCTGCATGATGAATTCAATTGTGAAAGAGAATGGAAAAAATCAGAAGAGTGAACGGATGTGAAAGATAGGCCAGAAAAGGAATAGACGTGACAGCATGGGGCCAGCAATAAATAAATATTTGTGTAAAAAATAATTATAATTGTAATTATTTGTCCTCCAAAAGAAGATATATCTGAACGATTTACTCGATTAAGTGACATGAAAATTTAGTTATGATCATTTATATTTTATGAATGTTATGTTTAATCTCATAAATTTTTTTAATTAATATGTTAATAATTTTAATTTATTAAAAAATTATATATTAAAATTATGGCTTTGGCTAATACATTATTACTAAAGTTTTTACGAGTTGTAGCTATATAATATGCCTGATAATAAATTTATTTATACTCTAAACCATAAATCCACGGTTTGGTGTTTATTTAAGGGTACTGAGAAAAAAAAAATAAAATCTCTTTTTTAGTTGGAAACATCCAGAAAGTGGCATGTGGGGGGACCGAATAATGAAAAGGGCAAAGGGGAACAGTATGGATATGCTGCACTGAAGGGTGTGAGCCAGTGAGATTGCAAAACGTCTTCGAATATGGATGGATCTGCAGAGTTCAGACAGGCCAAGGTCCAGGGAGATGTATATTTGGTTTCATGAAGACTTGGTTGACTAATATATGTCTATGCAATGTTATTTATGCACTCACCTCCCATTATTTCACCCAACAAAAATTGGTTGTATCTGAACCATATGATATTCCATGACACTTATTATTAAATAAAAGTGAATATTTCAACAATTCAGTCTAATTTAGTGGTATTGATCTTGAATCAATATTATTTACTTCTTATGAGTTGCATGTTTAAATTTTATGAAATTATTTTTTCATCTCTCAATTAATACATGTAAATAATTATAATTTGTTAAAAAAATAAAAATAAATATTTAATATTAAAAATTATTTTTTATTTAATAATTTTAATTTTATAACTTAATATAATCTAACATATAAAACAAATAACTTTTTATTCCAACACAAAAGGATTGTTTTGATTCTTTGAAAGTTTGAATGGCCAAGAAAAGTGGTGGGAAAAAGGTTATCTGGAAAATTTTGCAAGCTTCCTTTTTCTCCGTCGTGCTCAAGGATGCAACCATTTGATACGGCAAATTTGTTGTATCTATACAATTTACAAATCAAACATACAAAATTCACAATCGATGTGACACTCTTAACAAAGTTTCATATTGACAAAGCATAAGAAAAATTTTAAATATATAAGTCAACACATGTAATCTCTTGAATTATAATAAAGTATATTTCAACTAAGAATATTAAATCTCAAAAGGAAAATATATGTAATATCCCTTGCTAAATCTCATATAAAAAAAGTATAGAAAAAATACTGAATATATAAATTAACATTCATTATTATTTATTGACATATTTTAAAATTGTGAAATCTAAGGGATTAAAATAAATACTATTAATAATAGATTAGATCATTAAAAAGAAAAAAAGGTGTCTTTAGGAGTTTTGTACAAAAATGGAGGGACCCAAGTGAGGTTTTAAACACTTCGTTACTATGAGCAACAAACTACTACTAAAAGGAAAAAAAGAAATAATAACAACCAAACAAACGGCTACTTTAAACTCTACGCTTAAAATTTGTTAACAGAAAATTTTGTTAACAGAAAAGACTTCGTTCCCCGCCATGTTTATAGCCACGTTTAGAAGTTTTAAGGTTACATAAAAATAATAAATTGTATTTAATTTGATTATTAAAAATAATTAATAATTATAAAATATTAATTAAAATAAGTAAAATAATTAATATTTATTATTTAATAATTTAAATTCAAATTTTAAATTAATATTTTAAAGCATTTTAATTATTATAAATTAATAAAATCAAATAAATTAAATATATTTATCAATATTTTATGTGGCCATAACAAGACTATTTATTCCTATCTGTCTTTTGTACATTTCCTAGAACTAGAATGGCCTAAATTTGCCTTTGTTCATGCTTTACCAAAGAGACAATCGTAACGGTGGGTGAGGCTATTGTTACCAATTGAGGTGTAAAGAATTTAAGAACATTCAAAAATGTATTTATTGAGTTTTGTCATTTTCTCTTTCACTTGTTCATTGGCAGAAAATACAAAAAGTGTATTTGGTGTGAACTCAACACCTTGCGGCAATAACATCACCCAACCATATTTCGTCGCCTCCTCGTTAATGCATATTGTCGCATTCAAAACTTCTTTATGATCTCAAACTCAAACTCTTCCTCCTTCAACTTCTTCCTTTTCCCTCTAATCTAGTTCCTAGTTTTTTCAAGTGACAACAGAAAAACCCCTCCCCTCAGCAAATGAACCAAGACAATACCAACACAAACCAAAATGTTCGAACTTTAGAACGAGAGAAGGGGAATGGTTTAGGAAACGGGAAGTCGGGCATGAGAGACCCATTTTCCTGTCTCAATACAGAACCAGAACCTTCTTCTTTTTTTCTTTTTTTCTTTTTTGAATTGTGTATCAAAGGCTGATCTGAGCGACTCTTAAGCATAGAATCACTGGAGGCAGATACGTTGATGAATCATGAAGTAAAGTCACAACCTTTGTCAAGACTTTTGGGAAGGCGTACGTTGCAGCTGACAGCACAGAAGCTTGTTCATAATTCTCCTTGCTACAATATAGTTACAGTTTATCAGGACTGAACATCCCCTCCCTATTGTCTAAGGTAGAGGACCTCAAAATCTAACCATCCTGACTCAAACGATCATTTTTTTGGTTGAAGGAAACTTGTATTACTATCATGACTCAAATGATCATATTTTTGGATGAAAGTAGTCTCATGTCACTCAAGCGTCTGCTCATCAGACCCTTCATCCATTTTTCCAGCAGAAAATAAAAATAAAAATTTCTTTGATCAAAGCATCATTATCAAACATATAACACGAATCTAGGATATCAAATCATCAGGACATTTGATCAAAGGTCAACATAAGACTCTGTATAAGCACTTGTATATAATTCAGATAGAAGCTATAAACCATGCAACAAAATAATACCGAAATAGAGTGAAGTTAATAAGACCAGAGAAAGCATATGAATGAATGAGAAAAAGTAGCAACATCAGGTCACCCTTTACTGGAAACAAAGCACTAGAATGCTTAGTTCAAATCCATCGGGAAAGTGGAGTTTTAGCCATGTTTTGAATAATTATAGTACCCCTCTTCAGACTGCTTTACCTTTACCCACTTATCCATCCATCCATCAAAATTCATCAACAATTAATCAAACTATTGACTACCCCAACTATACAACCAAACAGCCTCACAAATCCTGCTGTCAATAACCTAAATCCTCTATTATCACCATTGCTTCTCTTTATCTTTCAAAGATAATTTATGAATCTTTCTTATTTTTTTACCTCTGCCTCATCAAAACACTACCAAAACCAAGTAGGGATGGAGAGAAATAGTAAAACAAAAAGGAGTCCCTACACCTTCAAAAGCAGCATGTATCCAGTAGAAAACCAAAAAGAAGTGCAACATCCTTGCAGCATTCTGCTTTGCAGTCCAATTGATCATTGACGATTTGAACCCATATCTTGAGAACTCTCCCCATTAGAGAGTCGTGAATGGCCAGTCAATTCCGATAAATGGGTCCCAGAAGAGTACTCTGTGTGAGAGTCGATAGCTTTTTCCTCCACTGTAATCTTATTAAGTGAAGCTGTGAGGTTCTCTACACTTGAGCCAGATTGAGACGGTGAACCTAAATCAGAGGAAACATGACTAGAAGAAGAAATCCATTTCATCCAGTCATCTCTCCTCCTGACTTTGACACCCTACAGATATTACAAGAGCAAATCAGACTAATGCCCGATGGAAAAAATAATAGCAGTTCAACTT